CAGTAAAAGCATAACTTCTAAAATGTAAATTCTTAGGCAAATGTATTGCATCCAACTTTCATTTCACTAGCACGAGAAATTTTATGTAGCATAGGAGCTTACAAACCTGCCTTTACTGGGCTGAAAGTATTGGCTCGTAGTTGCACGTACTACAAGGCAAACAGTGAATAAAAATAAGAAAACATTTTCCCAGAAAATGGAAGCAGTTGAAGCATGCCAGACATGCCGTATGAGTCAATTTCGATCAGTAAAGAGTCAATGGAAGTCGCTGAAACAGTTCAATTTAGCCATGCGTCTACCCAGTGAGTTAGGTTTAAATGAATAAATTTCACTGATTATGTTCAAGAAAGAATAGCTTCTTCGAGGCCATTGAAATTAGTTTGCACAGCTTTGCATGTACCTAATGGAAAGCACATATCTTCTCTACTAAGTTATTCCTCCATTCCATGATCATCTTGACTTTATTGGATAGCATATACAAATTCAATTTGTTCTTTGTCATCCAAAGAACAGAAAACTTTTTGAACCTATGCAAATTTCGATATCTGTCCGGTAGCTTAATCGACTAAATGTAATTATTGTAAATTGGATTGCTGTTTCATCTTTGCGATACAGAAAAATGACTTGCAAGAATTGGAAAGACAAATGATTTACCGTTCCTGAAGCGTACTGTGACATTTAATTCAAAAGCGCAAAACGTCTGGTTTATTTAACACTGATGTAAACCAGTGACACGTGATACGTTTCATGAAACTACGAAGACGTGAAAGGCAAGAAGGGCATCGTTACAGGGAACACCGGCATCCACCAGTTACATATGATATTCTGGTCTGGTTCTTACCGAACTTCCAAATACCCCGCCCTGCACGGAAGAGTAAGGTTAAATTCAGACAACACAATTTTGTAGCCGGTCTTCATGCGCAGATGATATTCACAGGTCATGACCCTAGACGTGGTTTGTGGATATCCGAGATTTGTGATGAATCCAGCCTGATTATTAAAGGTTCGATCACAATCTGCAATAAACGGAAAACGAAGGCAAATCAGAAGTCAAATCAATCAAAAAGAAAGCGTTACGAATAGATTCATTCACAGCCATGTAGACAGCTTCAAACCCAACGAAATTTACGGTTCTGTCGCTGCGAAAAATGACCGTCATTCGGTTAGTCGACGAAATTACAGGGGCCGGCAACAAATGACCGCAAAACCTGAAAATCAGTGGTATTGTTAAGGATATCAAATATCCGATGAATCGAAAGCAACCAACTTAAGGGCTTTAACGATTATCCTTTAATAGTGTATCTAATATATACAATAAAAATTTTTTCATAAATTCAATGTCGTGTTCATCTCATGGACAGCTGATCGTTAGAAGAGCACCATACTCAGAATTCAGAAGTCCCAAATTCCAGCCCTGGTCGAGATAAATGAGTACCACTTCGAGAAAGGAAACTAGGAACCACATAGCTATAGCTGATAGTCACCAAGTTGTAGCGTAGTTATTCTTTAAAGAACAGTAGGGCATCCTGGCTGATGATATGAAGACGGAGACTAGCGCTGCATCGTACGCTTCATGAAAAGAAGGGTGTCCCAAATGGCACTGATGGAAGTCTACTTCTGTACTGCCGTAATTTTCTTTTTTATAGAAAATGGGGATCCTCTCAAAGACGGATATGCTGAATTGCAATCATACTGCTGGATCGCTATGGCAGCCGCAAAGTAAAACAATGAACTCCAGATGGAGGCAGCTGTAATAGAGGAATGTAAAGCTACCGCAACTGGAAAGCGAACTTGTTTCAATGGCAACCATCAGGTGCAACTCCCCATTGCAAAAGTAATGGCGTAAAGGTCACCGGTGCTATGAACGCAGATTACAACGACTTCAAGCACTTGCAACATGAGAATACTCAGACGACGCTGCAAAGGCGTTTACAATTTGTCGTAAATGCTTACTGCTTCCTCCAAGGTACCTTCCACGTCCAAGAAAGGCAAAACAAATATCAGCCTGTTTTGTACTGTTCATACAAGTACAAGTCTAGTATTCAGCTGCAGCACTGAGCGATCTGATATGTACCCAGTTTTGTAATTATGGAAGCATTTTACTGACTTGCTGAAAGATTTAATTCTTTCACGACTCATAAAGCTTTGGTCTCATTTATTCATTTGCACCCTAATATAGTCACGCATTCATATTATATATAGTTTAGAATATCGAAACCATTAGGATGGAGTATTTAAATTTTTTACCTTCCTAGGAATCCAGAAGTCTCGTTTGGTGAAACATAGGACTCGTAAAATTCAACGTGATCGAATCTGCAGTCCTGGTGTTCTTCGAGCACGAAGGTTGTGAACACTACTTTCGCAATAAACCTCTAAACAGTGACACGAATGAAGCAACTGCCTTTAATGCTAAGTCAATACAAAATAATATTAATACTACCATTGGCAAAATGATGTCCCATCTGCATTCCACATTGTGGAAGTAATCGTTAGGATGACCAGGGCTTTGAAACGTACCCCGCATGTTCGTTAACACGCCACCGCATCCTGAAAATCACCGCTGTCAACAATCGTCACGTGCTAACGCGAATCGCTGTTTGACGAACCGATATCATAGGTTGAAAAGCGTGCCTGGAAGCCATGGTTCAACTCGCTGCCGTTAGTATGGAAATATATCTTCATGGTACCGCCGGAAGTAATAAACGGCTTTTGGGTACTGATCACACAAAAGTGACGATTGAACCACGACGACGCTGCGGGTGCTTCCAGCTGTCATGTCACACCATTAATATACGTTAAGCATAGACCGACGATAGCGGATACGAGCTTACTGTGATGTAGTTTTCTTCACAACTGTAGAAAAGCTTGTTACCCAACTCCACCGCTGTGAACCAAAGTTCGATCGCGTAGTGAGGCGGCGCCTTGATGACGTATTCGCAAACAACTGCGCTTCGATGAGGTGACGGAAAGTTTGGACTTTGAAACGTCCCGTTTTCGCTGTTCAAAATGGCACCACATTCTACAGATGAATAACAGACACCGTCATGCAGACAGACGAAATACCACGTTGCCTTACTTATTTCGTACTGTGCCGAGAAACCACGACCGGCGTAACGATCCTCTGAGTGAAAAAGCACCCACAGCTTGGAAGAAGTTGAGGTGATTGTTTCCGGTAGAGTATCACCGCAGAGATTCGATATCAGCGCCGCGTTTTCGTCGCCCCCGTCTCTAATCTTAAGAGCAGTAGTAAATTTAAAGTACAAATTTTGTGTCAGCACAACGTTTCATTGAAGATAGGAATTACATCCACTGTTTGCGTCACACTTCCAGGAGAGCAGGTTGTCATGATTTCATACAAATATTTCAGACATTTGATTCTGGGTCATATTTATATAGATGGTCTGCTTGAACGACCCGAGGTAGAGGGTACCAAATACAACAGATGGTAGAACAGTTTGTTGCCAATTAGTTTCGCTAGATAAAATATAGCATGATCAGGAGCCCTGGTAAACGCGTTGGCAATAAACCGTGAACAATGTAATGATTCCATCATGCCAATTATCTTCTGAACAACCGATTGCAGCTCACAGTTAGGGTGAATAGGAGATTCGTAAGATGCTTGTGTGAAGGTAACAACAACTGAGAAAAAAAAGTTATATCCTCTAACAGTTCGGGTCGATATATCTGGCAAAGTATGTCACACGGTCATGTTCGAACTCGCATATCTATATCGACTTAATCAAAGCATCAAAAAATGTTGGCACATCCATGTATGTCAAATAACAAATGGCACCTCCAAGACCAGATTAGATTAGAGATGGCCTAAACGGACAAAATTATAAAAATGCACTTAGCACTGCTCAAATACGATGGAGCTGTGGCATGTTGAAATGGACCCCTAGGCAAGTAGGAGCAAAGGGGATGTGTAATACGCCATAAAATCTGGTCTTGGAATTGTCATTAGTATTTTATCATCATCCTTATGAAAAAAGATTGAGACCTGCCATCGCCGTGATTCAATTAAATAAAAATTGTCATATGCATGCACTTTTCATACACACCATACTATACTTGGACACTTTGCACGGTAGAACCTTTATGATCAAGAACTCGAAACCTACAGAGTAACTCATTGGCTTATCCACCATGATACTCTGAACAGTACTGTGCATATTGCAAGCAATTCATTCATCGCATATCTGTCTGAAGTATTCCGAACTGGGAAAAACATGAGAAAGCGAAACTTTTGCATCCTTTATCAAACAGTCACTATGGTCATATAAGCTTTCCTCGAAAAGGTGCTCGGAAGCATTTTTACCATCCGCTCAATGCCGTTGAGGATTCATATAAGTCGTGATGCGCTAGCGCTTACGAATCTAAACTACATTTACACTCAGAGGAAACTTTTTAATCGCTCCACAGTACCGCATCTCGACTGAGGATTACCAGTGCCAAAAACTGTGAAGGAAATCCATGAGTTAACTTGGTATTGATGCTAACAAATGATCTGGTTCATATACACCGCTGGTGCAACCTCTATCCGTTGTCGCGAGAGAACGCTTTTACAAAAGCATTTCTTTTTCAACTGCTTAAGGTGTTATCTACTTTTCTGGCCACTGAAAAACAGAAGGCATTCGTGCCGTTTTCTCCGTAATGAAACCGATTCATTGGCAACAAATCCATCCGTAGCAGCTGTAATTAAAGTTGAAACATATTGTAGCTAGCAGAGTTCTGTTTAAACTAGCCAGATCCATTGTGACTAAAGCAGAGGTGAGTTCGAAGACTAAGTTCCCGGTGTTCAAATCGATCTTCGACCTCATGGTCCTAGGGTCAAGAATGTTAAGCGACGACTGAAAAACTTTGATGCCGAGTACCGCGTC